AGAGGGGAGAAGAAAATAGCCATTATCTATCCACCCCTTGCCCCAGAGGCTGCAGGAGGCTGCAGTGGTAAACACCTATTGATATGTAAATGGCTAAGACCAGGTGGGAGATTCTGGAAATTCTGCAATTTACCCCACACCCTTATTTTTCTAATAAGGAAACTAAGGCTCAGAGGTGGTAAGTAACCCTCCCACAGCCAAACAGTAACTAAATAACAGACCAGGATTTAAGCCCAGGTTATGAACTCTGATTCCAGTAGTACTGTTCTTAACAGTGCTTCTCTGATATACAAGTGTCTACTTCATTAGTTTGTTATGAGGATTAAGTATAGTAGAAATATATTGCTTCTTTGCCATAACATACTTGACATGTAATAAAGCACAGTAAGTTTTTGCCCTTTTGTTATTCATTTCATTATTATTACTATTATTATCTTATTTCATGGATTGTCTATATAATTTTTCCATTTATGTATGTTTCAGAAAGATTTTGTCTATTTTTTATGGGGGTTTATATAATTAAAAGTTATTTCTATTTAAGGTTTCCTTATTTTATATATATAGTATTTGTTCTAAAACAGTGACTACCAATTAAGATGGGATGCTATGTACTTCTACTCTTTTCTCTGCTCTATATACACTACCATAAATAATATTCAAATAGCCTTCTCTTTTGATTAACCCAATCCAAAACAGAAGAGGGAAAGGCCACAGCTTACAGCTATACCTTCTTCATGCACAACAATGTAAATGCACTTAATTCCACTCAACTGTACATGTAAATATGTTTAAAACGATAAATGTTTATTTTACTCATTAAACAAAAGCAGGAAAAGAGCAGGATTATATTCATAAACATTGGTAGACGAGACAAATTTTCTAAGAAGCTTGAAAAGTTTTCAGACTGAAAAGATGCCATATTTTATCCAGCAATGTGTCATTAAAGTAGTATCTTCTCTTGATAATGGTTTATTTTTTCCTAACTTCCCCATGCAAAAGAAATTAATACTTTCTCAACTCTCTCAAAAAGATAAATGTAAAGTGGGAAAATGAGCAAATTTCTGAAATATTATTAAATGTTTAAATATCCAGACTATTAAAATAATTATGAGTTTGTACAATTGCTTTCATGACTCAACACTTGAAGATTTTTTTGCACTGCATACAGATTAGTCACTACATGAGACAGACAATATCATAATGTAACAGAAATAAGTATCTCATGTGTCATAGTCAATGAATGAATTCAGTAAGTAATTACAGGACCAGTCCCAGTATGGGTCACTACCATTCACTGCAAAATCATATACAATTTAGAAGAAAACTTTGAAATCGTAAACCAAGATCATTCACTTGGAATTCAAATTTTTGAAACACTTCCTCTGGTATCTCATCACTTTGAATAATCTATTTAAACTCACGAACTGGAATTTTATCAAAATTATACAGATAACTTGAAAGACAACATATAACCTTTAAAAAATAAAGGGAAACATATTCAAAATTTTAACTTTATTTGAGCAAAATTCGATTTGAATCTGGCAGTGCCAAACTGGTAGCAGTTAGGAGCACTCCACCCACAGCAGCCAGGAGCAGGGCTTTTACAGAGAAGAAGGAAGCGAAGCAAGGAAATGATTTGATTGGCTATAGCTTGGCTCATTGGCTGTTTGTGATTGGTTGTCCTTAGGTTTTGATTTCCTTTAACCTGGAGGCATTTCAGGCTTAAATTTAGCTTTCTGAAGAAAACTACTAGAACACTAAAGGCACTCAGTCTACTGTCCTCCTTGTTGAATTTTTTTTACATGGATGTTAATCTTTTTAAAAACCAAATGTCAGTTATTATATCTATAATTAGCAACTATGAAATAATTGATATCCCACGGAAAAAATAGATCATGGGGTAAATGATCACAGTTCTCTTAGCTATCTATAAGTACTTTAAAAAAATGCTGTAAAAATACTGTATATTAAATCACAGTAATCTAAAAACTAGTCCCATTAAAAGGAGTCAGGGCTCCCTGGCTGACTTCAGGTTTGGGACAGAAAAAACACAAGGTGGGCCTGCACCATCATCTTATTGTTCCAGAAAATAAGAAACTGTTTACAATTGCATGGGGACGAGTCAAAAAAGCTTAGGAACCTACAAAAGAGACTTGTACAGGCCAAGTTTGGAATAATTTGAGCATATAAAAAATAACGATGACGGTGGATTGAAACAAATTGAATTAAAATAGAATCCAGCCGTCCAGGGTCCTCCAACAACATGTAATATTGGGAGAGGTTCTTATTTACAGAAGAATCCCAGCTAATATATATAAAAAGAAGGACTGATCTAGAGAACCACTGTTACTTCAACAATTTAATGACTGATTCAGACAAGTATGAACAATAGATACTGAAAGGAAAGGAGCGACACACAACAGCAATTCACCGGAGAGTTCCGCTTTATTAGGGAAAGGTGCTGGGTTATATAGGA